CAGCAGGGAGGGCTTTCCCTGGTTTAGAGGAAGGATTAAAACCGGAGAGGAGGAGGGAGGAGAGAAGGAAAGCTGCAGTGACGGAGGAGAAAACAGGCAGAAGAGAGAAGTGAAAGCTCAGAGACGCAGCTGTGTCAGAAAACAGGCGCTCAGCGTTCCGCTGCTCCTTCGTTCTGGGAAACCAGCAGATAGAAGCTCGGGACTGTCGGCGGTTATTGTTTGGTGAAGTGAGAGTCGGGAATGCCAGGTGTTTCCCTGTGAGTGTGTCTGAAGCCAGCAGGGATTCCAGCTTTTCCTCCTCTTCCTCGGATATCAGGTACAAAGCAGCTCTGTTCAGCTCCTCTTTGTTTCTTCATTTTCCTTTTTTCCTAAAATCATCCCTGTTCCCTTGGTTCTTCTGGGAACGTTTATTTTTCCAAGTAAAGATTGTCAGGCTCAAAGTTTAACAGGTGCAGCAACAAACCAGATGATTATTGATAAAAGACAAAGTTTTCCAGGGAAGCTGAACATCAACAATGGTCTCCGATGTGTCGGTCCATCTTCCCCTCCAGAGTCGAGCCCGGTGTACCGATTCTGGTTTCTGCACGGTTCCGATTGGCCAATACCAATTTACCTCAGAGAGATGAAAAGGTTTCAATAAAAAATCTGCTAAAATTCGGATTCTGGAGGTGAAAACGTTCGCATGGAAAATCGGTTTCAGCTAGCTTGAGTTAGCGCTCACGAACAAAACAAGCATCATAACGGACCCTCGGGCTAGCAGGTCAAAGGTCACCTAGATGAGGCAAATACAATAGATCTATAATCTCTGAACCTATTAGTGCATTAGTGATAAAAAACAATAATATTTATTATTTATATTATTGTTTATTTAAACATTCATGCTGTTACTGTTTTCTTCATTTGTGTCAGCTGTAATAAAAAGTTCTAATTATTAATAATAAAAACAAGATTTTCCTATTCTAAAAGCCTTTTTTCACTTAAATAGGATTTTTTAATGTAAAAGTTAATTTTAAATATCTTAGATTTCATTTGTTTATAAACATGTTAAATATTTCAGATTTTGTGTCTAAATAGTGAAATAACTGAATTCCTGTTCTGGCGGCTTTAATCCTCAGAGAGAAATCAGCTTCATTATGAATAAAACACCTAAACAGGATCATTAATGAGCGGATTTGTTAGGATGAAGCAGCTCCGACTGAGGAAGAGGAGGAGGACGACGTGTCGTTATGTAACGCTACTTCCTGCGGAGCGACGAAGGTGGAGGTGGGCGGCATCGACATCCGAGCTAGATTCAAGTTTTTTATGCAGACCTACGATAATTAATAATCACATCGCTTTTATTTGAGTCCAGAACTGATTTACATAAACCAGACGCGCTCCGGTGCAAAGCGTCTGGTTTTAGTTGTGGTTAAACGGGTCTACGTGTCACAGATGACACGCTGTGACATCACAGATGACACGCTGTGACATCACACGCACGAGGCTCAGTCGTCAGAAAAACAAATGAAACCCGGAAGTTTGAGTTTTGGTTGAAGTCACCGGATCTGGGGTGACATCACACACTCCTGTAACAAACTACATCTGTCCAGATGTTTCAGACGCTCTGAAATCGTAACCATGACAACACGTTTTAACTGTGCTGCAGAAAACCAGGAGGAGGTGTTTAGGAGTCGCGTTTCCTGACGCAGCAGCAGCATCCCGCTGCCTTTTGTTTCCCTCGCTGATCCTCTGAAGGATCCGATCTAATTAAACCAGGGCGGTTTTCCTGGAAGGCTCGCCGGCTGAATCGGTCCGTGACGGAGCAGACGGGAGCGTGACTGGAATCAGCAGCAGCCAGCTGGCTGAAACTGGTAGAATCCTGTCAGATTCCTCTGGACGCGCGTCAACGAGGAGTTCAGGATTTTAGGAAGTTTTCATCAGGAATGTTTCTCGGCAGCAGGATTTAGGCCCGACCGGAACTCGGATACGATAAAAAACATGAACTCCGTGGTCGTATCTGATGAAAACGATCTGTGGTCGGGTTTTACCGTCATCCACACTCGGATTAAAACATTCAGCTGATTTCAAGATTTAAAATCTCGTAAAACACGGACGGTTTATGTTAGCTAGACTGTTCACGTGTCGCCCTCCAGGTACAAACCATGGTTGTAGTATAGAGTCGTCATCACTATTATTTATAAAACGCTGTCCGGAGCGACGGCAGTTACTGGTTCTCACCAGCGGGGGTCAGAGTTGAGCTGTTTGGTGACACTTACCATCTAACATGTTGAAATCATGAGAACAAGATGGTTCAGCTAAAATCAACCCCGACTCGTGGAGGTTAGCATCTTCAGCCTGATTCTCCCATCACGCCGCTACGGGAACCCAGATGAACAAACAGGAAGTCAGATAATCGCTAAACAAATGGAAGCTTGTTTTTGTTTTACCGCTGTGTTTTCCCCTTGTTTTGTCATCTTCATTCATCCTGACGTGTGTAAACACCACAGTGTCAGGTGGGCGTCTTTCAGGAAACACGACTCGGTAAGACGACGCTGACAAAGTGGAGGTTCATACATGATTTAAAGATAGTTGTTGTCATCAGTAACGATGCTTTCGAGACCCAATCAGATTTAGTTTGTGCTCAGGTTAACGTCTCGTCCAGCTAGTTAAAGACCAAGTTCACTGAAAACTCGTTCTTTAATGACTAATTCTGATTCTAATGGGTCACTGAGTGTTTCATGCAGGCTGAACATGAAGATAGTCTCCTACACCGATCTCCTGCAGTAGCTTCTGATAGGAAACAGACGGTGAAACTCTAGGATAGAAAATCCTGACAGATCTACGTCACCCTGTCACTAACATTCATGGACTCACCCATCTGGACTCACGACGGGGAAGCTGTTGTTGGTTTAGCGTCCAGGAAACAGCAGAGAACGTCTCAGCTACTAGAAGCTAACCGTTAGCATTAGCAACTCCACCACACAGCAGAACTCCTCCAGGCTTGTGTTATTAGTGGAGATAAAGCATCAGCGTTGCAGAGCAGACAGTCAGTGGTAGAGTCGTGTTGCTGTTAGCCAATCAGAGGAGAGATGTCCATGTATCAGGAAATAAAACTCCAGATCCTGTCGTCTAAAGCTCAGCTCTGATCTGACTCACTTCTAGTTTCTAAAGCAGGAGCGCCAGAGCTTTATTTCCCACAGAGACTGACCCACTAGACCAGTGCAGATGTGCTAGAAAACCCGGTGAACTTGGTCTTTATTTTTGGTTCTAATTTGGTCTTTAAAGACCAAAAAAAAGCTCAAACTTCTTTTTTTTTCTTTCTATTTGAAACAAAGAAAAATTACAATTCATAAATAAACGAAACAAAAACGTGACATGCCATTGGTAAATGCCTGAATGTGGTTCTGACCGGCCTCCTGGCCTGGTTCTGGTCAGTGGGACGGTCTCAGAGGTCGTGTTCTGCTGCTCGAATCAGGACCGTTTGAGTGTGACCCAGATTGACCTGCTGGAGGTTTGAGCCGTCATTAACTCGATGTTCCTGCAGAGGCGAGGCGTCTGCAGATCCCTCAGACGGTCGTGTCTAAGGACACCGGTAAGCCTCGGCACTGACTCACCACTTATCTTTGCTTCCAGCATGTGGGAACCAACCAGAACCTGCAGTGTAATTACAGGGTGTTCTGTTGACCCGGTCGCTGGTTCCTCACCTGACGCTGCAGAAACAATGCGGTACTGGTGTGTCCTGGTCCGAGTCAGTCCCTCTGAGGCCCGACTGGAACCCTCGATGGGAATCCGTCTGAACTGAGTTTAGAACCACTTCTGAAACCCTGCAGCAGTAGAGATGCACCGATTGTGATTTTTAGGGCCGATACTGATTTCTGATTCTTGAACAACCTCCTGATTCAGATTTAAAAAAAAAACATTAATTAATTTTTGGTTTCTGATTAACTGGAAATTCTGGCAGAAATTAAAAGAAACATCCAGCTGGAAGATCCTTTGTTGCTAGCATGGGTTAGCACTTAGCAATGGTGAGTTCACAGACTGGGAAAAATGTCAGACTTTGTATTGCTGCTGGGCAAAATGGATTAATGGGCCGAGGAAGTGTCGCACTTTTGAGTTTCGAACTGGTCGATAAGATTAAAACGATCGTGCTGATTATTGGCCGATTCCGATCATATGATGATTTCCTTTTCTTTCCCGGCTTTAACTGAAACAGCAGAATCCTGCGGCTTCCAGCCACTCTGTTCTGGTCCGGACGGGAATGCCCCGTTTCTTTTTAAGGCCAGAAGAAATAAACTTCTGTTAGGAATCAGTTTTCCAGTTTGAAAACAGCTGTGGCTTCCTGTGTGTGTGTGTGTGTGTGTGTGTGTGTGTGTGTTTTATCTCCTGATCAGCTGTTTTACAGAAACATTTGTTCATTTAGCCATAAAAGTTCCACTTAGATTTTTTAAATAACCAAACAAACAAACACCGTTGTATTTGTCTAAACAAAAATGTTATTTATTATAAATTTACAAACAAATTGTTTATTCAAATATTTTATTATTTTAATTATGTAAATGAAAATTAAAACTATTAAATGAATCAAACTCACAATTATTGCCTGTAAAAGTTTGGATTATTGGCCAGATAGAAATCAGAATCAGAATCAGAATCAGAGAAGGTTTATTGCCATTGTCAGTGAACAAACAATTCACAAACTAGGAACTTGCTTCGGTACTAACGTGCTACATATAACATGAATAATAAAATTAAAAAATAGAATAAAGTAGAATAAAATATAATAAACAAGCATAAAACTTTGCTATAAAAAAGTTTTACAGCATCCTACAGCAGCAGAACGTTTCTAAGTGTTAAAAAGTAAAAACCATAAATGTAGTAAGGAAACCATTTTATGACGTTTCTGTTCTTCACTGATCTTTTATTTTCTTCTGCTCGTTGCTGCAAACCCACGCTCAACTGCAGACATGAAGAATTCACTTAGCATCCCGCTAGGATAACCGTGCTAATAAAGCGAATCGAGCCAATGAAGCCAACTGTGCTAATGAAGCTAACTGTGCTAATGAAGCTAACCGAGGTAATGAAGCTACCCGTGCTAATGAAGCTAACTTTGCTATTGAAGCTAACCGTGCTAATGAAGCTAACCATGCTAATGAAACTAACCGAGCTAATGAAGCTAACTGAGCTAATGAATCTAACAGTGCTAATGAAGCTAATGGTGTTAATGAAGCTAACCATGCTAATAAAGCTAACTGAGCTAATAAAGCTAACTGTGCTAATGAAGCTACCCGTGCTAATGAAGCTAACTGAGCTATTGAAGCTAACCGTGTTAATGAAGCTAACTGTTTTAATGAAGCTAACCGTGCTAATGAGCTAATGAAGCTAACAGTGCTAAAACTGTTTTAGCTCCAGAAGATTTCTCTGTAAACGTTGAGTTTGGTTTTTAGTAGATGTGTTCAACTAAAACGGTCCCCTGCTCCTGCATGACAAGGAGAAAGTAGAAAAACAACAACAGGAGTCCTGTTACTCCTCCTGGCCTGCACACACCCACGGGGGAAGGGGGGGGGGATCCTTTAAGGTGCCAAAGTCAGTGTCAGTGACGTCACTTGTGTGACTTTGCTCAGTTCAACAGCACCCCCACCCCCCCACCCCTGGGCCTTCCAGGAATTCCCCTCATCGTCACCAGAGGCCCCGCCCTCTGCTCAGCCACAGCTGAGAGCCAGGAAACACACTCTCCTGTTGACACACGTCTCATTGAGTTTGCAAATAAAAGGAATGTTGTTGTGTTTGTCGTGCACGCACTGATCTGGCTGGTTCTGTTCTCTCTCTCCGTGTGTGTGTGTGTGTGTGTGCGCGCCCTCTGGACTCTTTATGGACTTTTATGGATTGTCCATATTTCAGCTCCCTGAGGTGTCAGATTGGACAAAGACAGGAAGTAGAGCTATCAGTCACTCTGGGCGCCACGTTAACCAGCAGGGAGCCAGCTGATGGATTCGGACCGATCCACTTTGTTTGGTTTTTGACTGTTGGGCTGGTTTTGGGTTCGTCAGGAATGGTTCTGGTTGGACAATCCAACAGGATTCTTCAGGACTTTAATGTGTAAGTTCTGATTCTGGTTTGGCTTTAGTGCTGAAAACAGACCATCTAGAGTGGTCTGTTTGTGAAGGATCCGTTTGTTACTGTTGGAGACGTGTTTCTTCACGTCTGATGTTCATGGAGCCGGAAGCTCGGCTCAGATTGGCTGGAAGGAGGAAACCTGGAGTGAGATCTGCACCTAGAACCTTCGGTTGTGTGAACGTGAAAGTAAAAAAGGGAAAGTTTGGTTGTGGCTGGAGATGTGGTTTTTTTTTTCTTCATCAGGATGAGTTCACTTCCTGGTTTATCTGCTGGTTGCCTAGCAACCACACCAAGCTCTATAAAACATTGAATAAAGTCAAGCAGGTCCAACTGAAATCAGCTTCAGTGAAGTTTGTTTAGACTCAAGTCAGCAGCTCATTTCCTTTAATTCAGTCTCTGTGCTAAACCAGGCTAACAACCAGGCTAACAGCCAGGCTAACAACCAGGCTAACAGCCAGGCTAACAGCCAGGCTAACAACCAGGCTAACAGCCAGGCTAACAACCAGGCTAACAGCCAGGCTAACAACCTGGTTCTGTGTTTATTTTCTACCGTCTGACATGCGAACAGCCTCTGACTCTCATCATAAACATCAAACTAGTTCAACTTTGGGTAATGATTGGAATCGGAGCAGCTGGTGGTCAAGCTAAAAAAGTAAATGAGATTCTTCTGGTGAATGTTGGGAGGCATCATCCCTAAGTGTTAAATGGTGCTAATTAGTTAATTGACATGCTATGCCTTTTACAGTAGTAGCTTACTTCTCAGTGGTCCAGTGGTAGAGCGTTTATGGAGGTTCAAATCCCAGTCGGGTCATTCCAAAGACGTTAGAAATGTGACCCAAGGCCTCCCTGCTTCACACTCAGCTGTAAGGGGTTGGATTGGGGGGTTAAACCACCGGATTGTTCCTGAACGCAGCCACTGCTGACGCTCACCGCTCCTCACAGGGATGGGTCATGAGGTGATGACTTACTGTAGCTGTTTCTACAGGACCAGAGCGTTTGCTAAATGGGATTTGCCGCGGCCCCCTGGGGAGGGTAAAGGTCGTCCATAAGATCAGACCGTGGTGGTAATGTGGCGCAATCGTGGCAATTTCATAAAAGATTAGGTGATGGCGGCATAAAGGGGGTATGGGGGCGGTCTCTGCGCTGCAGCAGACTTCCGTTTATCTTGGACATAACTTTTATTGCGATTGAAGCCGTGATCTTTACGTTTTTTTAACAAGCAGCTCCTAAAGGCGTCTGTCCCCATCAGTCCCTGTGCAGTCTCTGGTGATCTGAGCTTCAGCTCTAACAGAGGGGCATGTGGAGCGCTGCGGCGTTCCAGTTTGCCATCTCAGCTGATTTTGTTCAAAAAGCAAACCTTATTGCCCGTGTTTACTTTCATTTTCAATGAATTTGCCAGCCGGAGCTCAGCAATAACTCCCCACGTCATCATGACATCTGCCTCTGTTGCGCCAGGGCGCATACGACAGACCATCACCGCAATATTACTACCAAGCGAGGCGGAACGAATGCCGCAAAATTCGCGCAACGCCATGCCGGCATGGCGCGTTTAGAGACACACCACTGCGGTAATATCACGCTGATCTTATAAAAGAGGCTCTAGTAACTCTTTAATGTCGGTTGGCCTGTTAGCTATTAGCTAATGCTAGCCTAAGTTGTTATTGTACATAAAAAAAACTAATAGTAGAAAAATTGTGATTTCACATTAATAAACTTTATTAAAACTATTTATATAATTAAAGCTTTTCTCACTGAGCTGATGAAACCAAACATGAAATAATTTTTGAGCCGGAAGAGCGGTTTCACTTCTACCCCCTCTCTCTCTCTCTCACACACACACACACACACACACACACACACACACACACACACACACACACACACAGAGGGTTTGGTCCTATCGTTTCTCTTGCCGTGCCCACACAGTGCCGCTCTCCTGCGGCCTGCAGCTTCCTGCGGGGGCAGCAGCAGAGCTCTGATCAATACGTCAGCTGCTGCCTGCATGTTTGCAGCTTCGTCAAGAATTAGACAGAACAAAGCAACATCTTCTCTTGTGATTGGAGGAAAATCTGCTGCTTCGAGCATTAAAGCTGCAGTTTTAGCTTTAACACGCCGTTCACGTAGCAGATAAACAATCAGCTCCTTTCAGTCTGCAGCTGCAGCGCGCTCAGACTCAGAAATCCCCCAAACCCTCGATTTTATCATTTACTAAAAGGATTTAAGGACAGATGGTTCAGTCTGAATCCATCCCAGCGGTACGGCTCTTTACCAGCATGAAGGTAAAAAAAACGTATAGAAAGCTCCTCTGAACAGGTCCAGAACCAGTCAGATGGATCAGACATCGTTTAGTTTCTCTGGGATGAGCAGAGAGCAGCAGGCAGGAGGATGCTGGGAGGAAAGATTTTGGGTTGTCATGACAACCAACAGGTACCAGCCTAACTGCCCCCTCCCAGCCAGGTTGTCACACATCCTGAGACGTCATACTGCTCAGACCAAAACGAGCTCTTCAGCGAGCTCAAATATCATAAACTGATGAGTAAAGAAGCTTCACACGATTACAACCAGGTCGGAGCAAACCAGCCAGCCTGTAGATTCCTGGTTTTCCCAATCCCAAACACACCTCCCTGAGGGACGCCGTCTTCCGTGACAGATTTAAATTTGATCTCCTGCCAAACACCACTAATAGGACTTTTGGTTGTCGGTAATCACTTGTGGCTCGGCGCTCCGGAGCAGGCTAATACAGTGCAGCGTTGTCACGTGCACCACGTACGTTACGGAAAAAGTAACTAAATATTCAACCGAAAAAGGGGCGAGCTGAAGAAACGTGAAGCAAGCACAGAGAGATCCGTTACTGTCTGTGTGTGTGTGTGTGTGTGTGTGTGTGTGTGTGTGTGTGTGTGTGTGTGTGTGTGTGTGTGTGTGGATGCTAGTGATGTGACGTTCACGAACGAATCAAATCTTTTGAACGGGTTTTCAAAGTGAATGATGAGAGCCGAGTCCCTGCAGAGAGCCGTTCATCTAAACAAACCTCCCCGGAAGTCGCTCAAACCCCACCCACTGCCGTGACGGCCGTAGGAGGAACCATAGATATGTACATAAACATGTGTTTATGTACATATCTATGGGAGGAACGCTAGCCAACCCTGTGCGCCCTCACGGACACCGCAGGAAAACGTTGCTCTTGATACCCCAACCACCATCCCCCGCTCTTTTGGCTTCACTTTGTTCAAAGGAGCCAGTCTTTTGAACGACTCCCATGAAAGAGCCATGAATCCCATCACTAGTGGACGCATGGGCCGGACTGAGCTCCCGGCTGCAGTTTCGTGTCTAGGCAGGGGCGGGAGCTCTATGTGACTGGCCAATCACAGAGCGTGAAGACAGTCGGTTACCCAATGAGGATTTTCCTTCAGCACGATTACAGATATTTACTCGTTTTACTCGTTTCATGCTCGTATTCGTCAAAAATGCTTTATCCGTACCGGATACTGGTCTGAAATGAGTATCCGGCTCATCCCTAGCTGCACCCACCCTGCCCTGCCTCCTCCTTGCTGCCTGCCGGCTGTGATCACACGCAACAACAGAGTAGTTCCCGCTGCTTCTTCGGGAAACGGCGCCAAAAAAAAAAAAGAAAGAAAATCAAATCAATAAAACGGGATCTCGTAGGCGTGGCGCTGGGATTTCAGCCCTACGCCTATGTAAGGGAAACACTGTAACATGGCATCAGTGTGAAAAATAAAACCTCTTTCCGAGGAAGCGTTCCTGGCAGTAAAAAGGGAATTAATGGGCTCAGCCTGGTCCTTGGTGATGTGGTGGTTTACAGCTGGAAGCTCAGAGGGACCCTCTCAGTTTGGAGGGATCCCATCAGCCAGGAAAACACGGAGATTCCTTTGTTCCTGCCAAGGGCGTTCACGTGGATGTTTTTATGTAAATCCAGCTGACACTCAGCTGCAGCTCCGTCATGTAAACAAACGCTCCGCCTCCTCGTGTTCCCGTCTCTGCTGGCAGGAAGCCTTTGTTTTGCAGCGCTGGGGTGGGGACGCCGTTATGTAATCGCTGGTGTGCGATACAGGAGACGGAGGAGGGAGCGCCTGGAGTAACACACGATGACATAATCCACTGACCTGCTCCAGAGTTTCCTGGCTCTGCGCTGGGAATCTGGGAAGCTCGATGGAGCATCCTGGTTCATCCCGTTAACGCTCGTCTGTTTTCTACCGTCTGAAACTCTTCTAGGCGTTTAGAGTCCTGATCCGGTCCAGAACTCCAGATCCAGTCCAGAACACTTTCTATCCCAACAGCCAGATGTTCCAATGATCTATTCCTGATCAACAGTTCTCCAACTTTCCAAAGGTCTGTGAGGTTTCCTTGGCTGATTCTTCACTCCAGAAATTTCAGATATTGGATTTGTTAAACCTCTAAACCGTTTATTTAATAACTCAAGGGATGAGCCAGAGCTGGGTAACAGAGACCAGAACCGGTTTGTACTGGATCTTAAGGCCACCAGCAGCCAGGATTTTATTCCCTGAATAGCCGAATCGCAGGTCCTGGTTCAGGTCTTCCTTGGACCCGTTCCTGGTTCAGAAGCACGTTGGTTTTAGACCAGAAACCTTGTTGTTGTTGTTGTTAGCCTCGAGGGCGACCTGCTGCTTCGTCATCACCTGCACGTCGCTCTGACAAAAGCTACACAAACACTTTCCAAACCTACGTGAGAACCCTCGAGAACGTTTCAGGACCAGGAATTCTGTTTTCCAGGAACTGCACAGCGGTGAGAGGCTGTTGCTCTGGAGCATACAGGCGTGTGTTAGCACAGAGCACAACAAACATTTTTCATGTGATTCTTTGACGATGAAAACAAATGATGATGAAATGTTTTTCTGTCGTAACGAGAAATTCAAAACGTTCAGCTTCCACAGGAATGCCATTTGCTCAAGGGCGTCAGTTTGTTTTCAGAATGGCTGGGGACAATAACCATACACTTGAGTGGAGTTTAAAAATTGCTGGGGACAATATAGGCTAGCACAGGGGTCGGCGGCTCTGGAGACGCATGCGGCTCTTCCATCCATCTGATGCGGCTCTCTGTGCTTGTGAAATAATGAATGGATATTTAAATAAAATGCTTTATATTTTACTGCATTAATTTTACATCTGTAAGCTAATTCTAAATGTAAAGATTGTCTGCGTAAACCTGAACAGGTCCAACCCGGTCTACTGTGTGACCGGGTTGACGCGTCACGCTTGTGCGTAATCATAGGCGCTTCCTGAGCTGACGAGGATGTCAGATTCTGGGATTCTCCTCAGCTCCTGGATGCGTCGCCACATTGGAGACAGGAACAAGCGCTATTCAGCCAAAGTTTCATAATCAGGGAACATTTTCTAAGTGACAAGTCTCTCTGAGAGACCGGGTTTGGAAAACACTCGCTTCAGTGGGAGGAACCTTCTCACATGCGCTCTGGTTCTGAGAGCCTGGATTTGTATTCTGAACAGTCTAAACATGTTTTAAAAAGAAACGTACGACAAAAGTGGCACCTGCTCAGTAAAACCACCAACAGGGTGAAAAATATCAAAATATTGTAGCAGAGACGGGCTACAACTTCTGGATCATCTTTATATAAATCGTTTTATCGATCATCTTCTTATGAAAGATAACTTTGACGTACACGAGCGACCAGGCGCGTTGCAAGATTTTCAGAAGTGTGGGGGATGTTGTCTGTGCCTAAAATAATTTGATGTTATTCATCCTGTTAGTTTAATTTCCATAATAGCGGAGCAGGTGCAAATTTTAGACGCGTCACACACGTCTCCGTTTTAAACATGTTTAAACTGTTCAGAATACAAATCCAGGCTCTGTCTCGTTAGATTGGTGTAACTAAAGTTTGTACTGAATGAAACTTTACATTAAACCATGTTGAAAAGAAAAGGATCCGATTAAATCGTTTCCCCTCATTTACAGTCATGATGTACAGCGCAGTGCTCGTGGCTCTGGGGTTAATCAGGTTTAGTTGTTTCTCTTTGCAACAATCTTCACAGGAAGGCAAAACAGTTAAATGACAGGTTACAGATATTTCCATTTGACTGTATTTTGACGGATAAACTCAAGGATGCTGGCTGTTTTGAAAGAATTACCCCGACGCACACTGATGCGCATGGATGAGCTTGGAAAAATGTTCTTTTTATGAAATTATGAAACTTTGGCTGAACAGCGCTTGTTCCCGTCTCTAATATGGAGACGCATGACGCATCCAGTCTGAGGCAGAATAGCTCTTCAGCTCAGAAAGCACCTGTAGAGACATTTGATCACGCACAAAGTTTATGTGGAGCAGAAGCGTTCGGGCCACGGCAGGTGAAACGTTCCTAGCCTACATGAAGTGAAACTGTGTAATTGTAACATTAATGTGTTACTGAACACGCTGGTCTGGTTGGTTAGACCAGTGTTGGAAGTGGAAAACACACACACACACACACACCAATTAAAATAATGCTGATAGCGTGGACTAGAAGACAGGTGATGGTTTTATTTAAATGATGATCAGGCTGCTGTAAAATGTAATCTCCATCCACATCCAGATGGAATGATCCTCTATTCTAGTCGCTCTGCTCTTGTCTGGGCTGACGGAGCTGACGGTGCGCGCGGCGCGCCTAACGGCTGTGGTGCACATTTTACGCATTTGGAGAGGTGGGCTGGATGCTTTGCGTTTACTGGAAGATGGTCCACTTAACGCACGGGTGTAGACTACATATTAATGACAAATGAATGAAAATTAAACTGGGAGTTTTTACTTCATATTTTAGAAATAAAAATGACGTGGGAACACATTCATGACGTCTTTTTAAACTAAATTTTCTAGCGCGACCTGCCTGCTTCACTAAGTCACTGCTTATTAAGGTCCGTCCAGAATTACCGTGGCCCACCCAAAATGAAAACCTGGCACCGCGCCTGTTATAAACCTCTGCAAATTGTTGTTCTTCACGTTATCAAACTCAGACGTTGTACAGCTAATGTCAAGATGTAAAATTATGAATTCAGTCGAGCTCTTCCGTCCCTCCCTCTCCTGCTCTCCTGGAAACCTGACATCGGCTGTCAGAAGCGGAGGTGAAGAAGGAGATGAGGCAAACAGAGTGAGTGCGACGTAAAGAAACCAGACTGGTGTGGAGGTAATAATAATAATAATAATAATACATTTTATTTCAAAGCGCCTTTCAGGACACCCAAGGTCACTTTACACAAAACACGTAATAAAATACAATAAAACAATAATAAAACCCAAAGAAGAAAAAACAGAGAGAAACATTTCAATAAAATCAGAGGTTGTAGGCAGATTTAAACATGTGTGTTTTGAGTTTTGATTGGAAAAGGGTAAAACTGTCGATGTTCCTGATGTCTGGGGGAAGTGAGTTCCAGAGTCGAGGAGCAGAGCGGCTGAAAGCTCTGCTCCCCATGGTAGCGAGACGGGCAGAAGGAACCGCAAGATGGATGGAAGAAGAAGATCTGAGTGAACGGGACGGGGTGTGAATACTTATAAGGTCTGAGATATATGGAGGAGAGAGGTTGTGGATTGCTTTGAAGGTATGGAGGAGAATTTTGAAGATGGACCTGAATTTAACTGGGAGCCAGTGGAGCTGCTGGAGAACCGGCGTGATGTGGTGAAAGGAAGGGGTTCTGGTGATAATACGGGCTGCTGAATTCTGGACCAGTTGCAGTTTATGAAGGAGTTTGTTGGGGAGACCATAAAGAAGTGAATTGCAATAGTCGAGACGGGAGGTGACGAGGCTGTGGACGAGAATGGCGGCAGTGTGAGGGGTCAGTGAGGGACGAAGACGGTTTATAGAACGTAGATGGAAGTATGCTGACCGAATTAAGTTATTAATGTGAGCCTGAAAAGAAAGGGAGCTGTCGAGAATGACACCCAGACTCTTGACATGAGGTGAGGGGGAGACTGTGGCACTGTCAATAGTTAAAGAAAAGCTGTCAGATGTTGAGAGGGTGGAGTTAGTGCCAACTAGAAGAAGTTCAGTTTTATTGCCGTTGAGTTTGAGGAAATTAGAGGTGAACCATGATTTGATTTCAGAGAGGCAGAGTGTAAGGGAGGATGGTGGGAGAGTTGAGTTGGGCTTACTGGAAATGTAGAGCTGGGTGTCATCTGCAAAGCAGTGAAACTGGATATTGAATTTGCGGAAGATTTTGCCGATAGGGAGGAGATATACTATGAAGAGGAGGGGCCCCAGGACAGAGCCCTGGGGCACACCTGACTTGACTGGGGAGGGTTCTGAGGTAAAGGATTTTAACTGGATGAACTGAGTGCGGCCAGTAAGGTAAGATTGAAACCAGCGGAGGGGGGTGTGAGTGATGCCTAAGGAATAGAGTCTATTAAGGAGGATGGGATGAGAAATGGTGTCAAAGGCCGCACTCAGATCGAGGAGAATAAGAATAGAGATTAAACCAGAATCAGCAGCAATGAGTAGGTCGTTAGTGATCTTGATGAGAGCTGTTTCTGTGCTGTGGTGGGGACGGAAGCCAGACTGAAACTGTTCATAAAGGTTATTGCGGGTGAGATGTGAATGGAGCTGAGATGCAACAGTTTTCTCAAGGACTTTGGAAATGAAGGGAAGATGGGAAATGGGACGGAGGTTATTGAAATCATTGGGATCTAAACCAGGTTTTTTTAGAATAGGGCTGACTGAAGCGGATTTGAATAGGGATGGGACCGTACCAGAGGATAGTGAGGAATGAATAATGGCTGTTATAAAAGGGAGCAGAGAAGAAAGGCAGGATTTAACTAAAACAGTTGGAATAGGGTCCAGTTGACAGGTGGAAGGTTGTTCCAAAGGTGAGCAAAACAGCTGGAAAAGTGTGGGTGTTGAATCCCCCACGGGTGCGATGTCCATGCGAGCGACCGGTACCTGCTGCTGTCACCTGGTTGTGAGCAGCTCTCTGCTGTCTGAGGGTAGGCCCCGCCCACAACGCTGCGGTGTTTTCTTTACTGTGGGAAACGGGTAATAATGGCTCTTTGATGGGAACAGGTTGCCGACCCCTGGTATAAGATCTGAGCTGGTAAAACAAAAATCCTCATCAGCAGGCTTTTTTTAAAGTGGGGGGGGACACAGCTGCCAATCACAAATTTTGCCGGGGACATGTCCCCGGCGTCCCCGGTTAAAATGACGCCTATGCATTTGCTGTTTGTCACCAGCAGTCGGAGATGCTGGTTCTAGTCACATATACACACACACACACACACACACACCGTTTAGGATTCCTGGTCCTGCTGCTGCAGCGTGGGACGTTTCCTGCTCACTCCTGAAGATGTTTCTGCTTTTCTGTTGCAGATAAAATCGAAGAAGCGCAGAAAGAGCTGAAAGATCCCAACGCTCCACAGAAAGGTAAGCGATGCGGTTCTGACCCAACTAAACACGGGACTTCATCAGGGCTCAGAACGGGATGGAGAATGGATTTGTTTATCTGACACCTTATCAAACTTTATTGATCCGTTCCTCGTGTCCTGCTGCTGCTGCTGCTGGATGGAGGCGGGCCAGTGATGGAGGCGGGGCCAGTGACAGAGGCACGGGCAGTTATGGAGGCGGGGCCAGTGGAACTTGTTTGACCATTAGACACTTTTACCTAAAGCTACCTATGGCTTAACTGAACGTGAGAACACACCAGCTACATGCAGTTAGGATACAGCTGGGATTTGAACCGGCAACCTTCTTGCTGCTTCTCCACCGTGAAGAACATCTGGACTCGGAGTCGGTTTTAGGTTAAAAGTTTCGGTTTAGAAAACAATATTTATTTAAAACAGGATTTTAGTTTAAATAAAACTAGTCGTTGTTGGTAGAGCAGCAGATTTAATGTCGAGGAACTTCTGGTGGTGTTCTGGGTTCCTTCAGGTGGTGTTCTGGGTTCCTTCTGGTGGTGTTCTGGGTTCCTTCTGGTGGTGTTCTGGGTTCCTTCAGGTGGTGTTCTGGGTTCCTTCTGGTGGTGTTCTGGGTTCCTTCAGGTGGTGTTCTGGGTTCCTTCAGGTGTTGATCTGGGTTCCCTCTGGTGGTGTTCTGGGTTCCTTCAGGTGGTGTTCTGGGTTCCTTCAGGTGGTGTTCTGGGTTCCTTCAGGTGGTGTTCTGGGTTCCTTCTGGTGTTGATCTGGGTTCCTTCTGGTGGTGTTCTGGGTTCCTTCAGGTGGTGTTCTGGGTTCCTTCAGGTGGTGTTCTGGGTTCCTTCTGGTGTTGTTCTGGGTTCCTTCAGGTGGTGTTCTGGGTTCCTTCTGGTGTTGTTCTGGGTTCCTTCAGGTGGTGTTCTGGGTTCCTTCTGGTGTTGTTCTGGGTTCCTTCTGGTGGTGTTCTGGGTTCCTTCAGGTGGTGTTCTGGGTTCCTTCAGGTGGTGTTCTGGGTTCCTTCAGGTGGTGTTCTGGGTTCCTTCAGGTGGTGTTCTGGGTTCCTTCGGGTGGTGTTCTGGGTTCCTTCAGGTGTTGTTCTGGGTTCCTTCTGGTGTTGTTCTGGGTTCCTTCTGGTGGTGTTCTGGGTTCCTTCTGGTGGTGTTCTGGGTTCCTTCAGGTGGTGTTCTGGGTTCCTTCTGGTGGTGTTCTGGGTTCCTTCAGGTGGTGTTCTGGGTTCCTTCAGGTGTTGATCTGGGTTCCCTCTGGTGGTGTTCTGGGTTCCTTCAGGTGGTGTTCTGGGTTCCTTCAGGTGGTGTTCTGGGTTCCTTCAGGTGGTGTTCTGGGTTCCTTCTGGTGTTGATCTGGGTTCCTTCTGGTGGTGTTCTGGGTTCCTTCAGGTGTTGTTCTGGGTTCCTTCAGGTGGTGTTCTGGGTTCCTTCAGGTGGTGTTCTGGGTTCCTTCAGGTGGTGTTCTGGGTTCCTTCTGGTGTTGTTCTGGGTTCCTTCAGGTGGTGTTCTGGGTTCCTTCAGGTGGTGTTCTGGGTTCCTTCGGGTGGTGTTCTGGGTTCCTTCAGGTGGTGTTCTGGGTTCCTTCAGGTGTGAAGCAGAACTGTGCTTTGGGTCACTTATTTGTGAACATGGAGGTGATTTCCCTCAGAAGCAGCTGGGTCTGTATCAAATATAAAAGCACCGTTTAAAACTAGAGTTTAGGCTGCATGGTGGAGCATCAAGTAGCACTGCTGCCTCGCACGGTTGCCGGTTCAAATCCAAACTACAGCCTTTCTGCATGGAGCAGGGTTTTCCTCCTATAGACCATAAAGTGGATTTGGATAAAAAACTTTTACTCTGGTCGTTTCTGTCTGAAACATCTAAGTAACCAAAACCAGAAGAAATGTGTGAGGAGGCGAATGACTGGAAACCCACCTTCTCTGTAGGGTTAGAGTATTATTTAGTACTCCTGGTTTATTTGTTTATGTTTATGTTTATTTATTTGGCAGACGCTTTTCCAATCCAATTTTATTTATAAAGCGCATTCACAAGGCATTACAACCAAACAAGGCGCTGTACACTAAAAATGTTAATTAAACCAGCAAAAAATTATACAAACATGTCGAACACAGATAAAAGATTAAAAGGAAATACAACAAAATTCCCAGAACTAACAGGTAGAAATCAATAAGGCACAGGGAGAATAAAAATTAGAAAAACATTTTAAAAAAGAACCAGAATAGTACGGAAGTTGATATTGTGGAGTCAGTTTATAAACAGTGCAGATGTAAGTGATGGTCATAATTATGTTATATAAGCTAGGTTGAAGTAGTGAGTTTTCAGGCGTGATTTAAAAATGCTAGCTGTTGGTGCTAGCCTCACTAGCAGTGGTAATGCGTTCCACAGCTTGGGTGCACAGACAGAGAAAGCCCTTTCTCCACGGCTTTTTAAACGTGCATTGGGAACAGCTAGGAGGAGCTTATCTTCAGACCTGAGAGCACGCGGCGGGTTGTAGTAATGGACAAGTTCACACAGATATGGAGGAGCTTGATGGTTCAAGGATTTGTAAGTCAGAAGCATAATTTTGAAGTTTATCCTGAACTGCACGGTCAACCAGTGGAGAGATTTCAGAATTGGAGAAATGTGTTGTCTTCTGTCAGCTCCAGTCAGCAACCTAGCTGCTGAATTCTGGACCAGCTGAAGTCTAGAAAGAGCTGCTTTACTGATGCCATATAAGCAGGATTTAGAGTAATCCAGCCTTGAAGTGATGAAAGTGTGGACCACAGATTTCAGAAGACGGACACTCAGGATGTGCTTTAGTTTCGAGATGCGTCTTAGTTGGTAAAAACATGATTTAACTGTGTTATTGACCTGGGCATCCATCTTCATAGCCTGGTCCATTTTTACTCCAAGGTTGGAGATTACAGAGGATACATTAGGTGAGAGATAGTTGAGGGCAGGTTGATGAGTCGTTGTGGTACTGTAAGGACTGAAAACGATTAAGTCAGTTTTGGAGTCATTAAGATGGAGGAAGTCAGCAGCTAGCCATTGCTTGACCTCAAGGATACAATCAGACAGAACTTTCGTTGATTGAGCTTTTATTCAAAGTGACGTACAGTTTATAACCTATAGGGCATGTTGTGATTTGTGAGGGAATCCGGAGTACCCGGAGGAAACCCACGCATGCATGGGGAGAACACGCAACTCCATGCAGAAAGGCTGCAGCCGAGTTTCGAACCTGCAACCTTATTCCATGGAACCGTGCTGACGTGTAACAAGGACTAGAACAAAAACGGATTCATGTAATTCCTGGAAAATCGGCCTCATTCCAAAGCAGTTACAATAAAACCAGCTTAGTGAGGTTCTTTTCTGTATTTATTCATTTATTTTGTGTGCGTGCGTGCGTGTGTGCGTGTGTGTGTGTGCAGAACAGATTAACTCATGCTCAGAACAGGCACTCCCTAATCTAATTACGAGAGGGGAACTTGGAGGAACCCTGACCTCATCCTGGGAAATACCAGCATGAGCCAGGAAACTGTGACGGAGCGGCGCTCCTTATGCAACGTGCTCTTAAAATCTCTGACCTGAATCATCGCCGCTGTTACTAAAGGGTTTTTGATCAGCTGTGTTCTTATGTAACCTCCATGTGTTCATCACCAGGAACAATCAGATGTGTCAACATTTCCTGTAAACCCTTGAGCAAGTTTTCACCAATTTCAGTGAAACGGTTGAAGTGTAACATGGATTCAGTAAGTTCCGCGTTTTTATTCCACCAAAAACGAGCTGTAGGCCTAGTTCTGGGTTCTGATGGACTAATCAGGGTCATGGGATGAGAAACGCATCTAAACACCTGGGTCACGCCTCCTGATGTCCCATAATGCCCTGCAGTGTTCTCCTGCACAGATCACTAGAGCTTTCCCACCATGAGGACCCTGTGGGAGGTCCATAGGCAGCCACAGCAGCTTCTTTAATGATGAAACATGAAACAAGACGATGAAAACAGTCCAGCTGAGATTTTATTAGACACAATAATAAAATACTGATTTGTTTCTCTCCACAGGTGCAGCGGAGGGCCGTCAGCGGGCCGCGGACAACGTCAAAGGCCTGAAAAGAAAAAAGGTCGTTGCAGAAAATCTACTGAAAAAAATCCCCAAATCTCCGGTGAAGAAGCCCCTCCAGTCGAAATCATGTGACACAGGTCTCCACAACTCTTCTTCTAAGGAAAGCACACCTTCCTGCTCCTCCTCCAACAGCCCCTCCCACCGTCTTTCATCACCAGGCAGGAGGGGAGATCCACACCATGTTCCAGCAGCTGCTACTGCCCCAAATGAGGGGTCGGGCTCTCCTGGTGTTGAGAAGGTGAAGGTGAAGCAGGAGACGACGTCCTCTCAGCCGTTATCACGCGAGCCCTCACAAACGGAGGAGAGCCCTCAGGTTCCTGCTGTGGAACCACGGACTAAAGGCCAGAAGAGTTCAGAACACAGTTTTGAGGGAGAGTCTTACCACAGCAGTGCTCCTCTGGATGTTCTTCTGAAGGCCATGGAGCCGGACTTCAGCACTCTAACAGAGAGGAGAACCTCCTCGCAGACTTCCGCCATCAGTAAACCGGCTGCTCCGCTTCAGCTTCAGCCCAGCACGGAGGTCACAGCGCTGCCAGCGGTCAACATCAGTCTCCAGGCCCAACATTCCCAAATGCAGGCCTATTATTTTGACAAACAAGGGAACGTCTTTGGAATTGCGTCACTGCAGGGATCCACACAGGGTTCATCTTCTCTTGCTGGGCCAAACTTGCACATGAAGTCCAACACTGGACCATCTGCTCCTTCTGGCTCTAACACTTTGCCCCAAAGCCAACCACCAGTAGTGCACACGTGCCAGTCCCTGTCCGCCAGTGTTCCCAGTACCATTCAGGTCCCAGTCACACCGGGCACCAACCAGGTGCAGATGGCCACAGTCATGAACTTTGGTGCTGAGCAGGTGCCCAAAGACCAAAAGCCTAAAAAGCCAGGAAAGTATGTGTGTGAATATTGCAGCCGGGCGTGTGCCAAACCCAGCGTGCTGCTCAAACACATCAGGTCTCACACCGGAGAGCGACCCTATCCCTGTGTCACCTGTGGCTTCTCCTTTAAAACCAAGAGCAACTTGTACAAGCACAAAAAATCTCACGCTCACGCCATCAAGCTGGGACTCATCGCCCGCTCTGAATCCGGAGGCGGGCCACTGTCTCAAGAATCAGACAGAGCTGCCGGGACTCAATCAGAGGCCGAGGAGAGCGGGGACAGTGATGAGGAGGGCGGCGTTGCAGATCTGGATCCAGAAACCTCACAGGGCTGTAGAGCAGCGGCATCTGAAACCGGACCTCAGGGTGCAGGTACATCTCAAACAGAAGCAGAGTCTGTCAAGTCCTCCCCAGGCCAAAGGGTCCACGAGCCTAAAGCTGCACTTCCAAAAGTCGTCGTGTACCCAGTCAACGTTTCGCCTTTGAGGGCAGACAGTCCAAGAGTCACTGGTGCTGCACCAGAGCAAGCTGCTGGTCAGCGGCAACGAGACATTCAGAACGCCAATCTGAGACCAAGCATCACAGTCCTGTCCTCTCTGAGGGAGGTGGATGCTGCGCATCCCTCGCTGGACACGGTAAGCGAGGATGAAGACCAGCAGTGCAAGTCTCCTCTGTTGGGCGGACATGCCCAGCTTCAGAGACAACAAGCTACAGACTTCTCCCAGCAGCAGCAGCCCAAATGTCTGCTCAGTCCGCGGAGTTTAGGAAGCACAGATTCTGGCTACTTCTCTCGCTCTGAAAGTGCTGATCAGGCCATGAGTCCACCGAGTCCCTTTGTTAAAATCACTCCCCCGGTGGACACGGACCTCACCAAGAACGCTCCTCCTACTGCCCCTCCCGTGGTTGCTACGGTGATGCACGTAGCAGCCGAGCATCGCCCGCGTCCGGTGGAGAAACAAATGCGATCACCGTTTGAAGCCAGCACTCGCTCTTTGGAAGAACGAATTTCAAAGCTGATTTCAGATAACGAGGCGGTGGTGGACAACAAGCAGCTGGACAGCGTCAAGCCACGGAGGACGTCTCTCTCAAGAAGAGGCAGTATAGACTCGCCCAAGTCGTACATATTTAAAGACTCGTTTCAGTTTGACCTGAAACCAATAGGAAGACGGTCCAGTTCGAGCTCAGACATCCCCAAGTCCCCATTCACCCCAACAGACAAGTCGAAGCCAGTGTTCCTGCTCTCTGTTCCTGCTCAGTACCCAAACATGGACTGTCTACCAATAACAAGGAGCAACTCTGTGCCTACTACACCTGGACACTCTACTCTACCAGTCAACGTAGCTCCCATGCCCCACCCCCTGAGAGTCTGTCAATCATTTGATGAGAAGATCGGCTCCCTGAATGATGAAGTCTTTTCCCCAACTCCAAACCCCGCCATACACTCTCGTACTTTGGTTCGACAGGTGGCAGTGGAGGACTTTTCTACAAGTGAGGGACACAGCCTCCCTACCGTGCGCTCCATGGATGAAGGCTACCATGGTCCCAGTAGCTCAGCAGACTTGATTCAGAGAAGCAAATCGTTTGAACATGGCCATGACCGCAGCAAGAAGCCCCAGCAGAACAAAGGAACGATGTACGAGTGTGAGACCTGCCGCAATCGGTACAGAAAATGGGAGAACTTTGAGGCTCACAAAAAGTTCTACTGCTCTGAGCTCCGTGCTCCTAAAAGCAAGCCTGTGGCTGTTAAAGAAACTGACCAAGAAGTTTTTCATGTCGGCATGCAGCAGCCCCTCATCTTGAGGTCATTAAATGGCTCTGGCATACTGGAGCAGCAGACATCAATCAGGAAGAGAAGGAAAATGAAAAGTGTTGGCGATGAGGATGACCAGTCTCCAACCGACACCATCCCACCATGTTCAGTCAGTTTTGAGTCTCCAATAGCTCCAACAAGCAGGACCTTTCCTCTGAAAGTAGACATTCAACCCAAAAGCAGCCAGCCAAACCTTCCCCAGATCCAGCTTGTTGCACGAGGAATGAACACAGCAGATTCCAGACTGTCACCAATACGTGAGACTCAGATCAGCAGTGCTTCAAAGGGAGATCTGCAGAGGCAGGGCAGTGGAACTTCAGTCATCAGACACACCAACTCCCTCAGCAGACCCAACTCGTTTGAGGCAGACCTGGCTGATAGGGTCTCACCAGCTGACAGCATGGAGAAGGACTCTCTGAACAAACCCAACAAAGATGGACCAACAAGCGTCTCACCCGACACGAAAAAGATATCCCAGTCCACCAGTGTGGATTTTGGAAAACAAAGGAATGATCCGAGTAGCACCCGCACACTGACTACCAATTCCACTCCTGTCCATCAGTCTCGTCTTGTTCGCCAAAGAAACATCCAAGTTCCTGAGATCCTAGTCACGGAGGATTCGGACAAGGAGCACGAAACCCAGAATGCCGAGCCACCAGACAAACCAGCAGAGCAGTTCAGTTGGCCTCAACGAAGTGAGAGTCTGTCAAAGTTACCAGCAGAGAAACTTCCCCCCAAGAAGAAAAGAATCCGCCTGGCTCAGATGGATCAGTCTTCTGGTGATTCCAGCTTCGAGTCCAGCCTCTCCCGCAGCCTCAGCAGAGACAGCAGTCTCTCTCGTTGCTCAAGCATCTCGGCCTCCTTTGAGAGAGATGAGCCATCCCGATCTGAGAGTCCATCTAAGGGCGAAGTCTCTGGTAAAATTCCAGACCCTCAGAGTCTTCCAGCAGTCTTCAACACTCTTGGCGTTCCAGGAATAATGAGGCGTGCTGCATCTGAGCAGATCACTTGCACGCAACCCTCCGTGGAGATTTCCTGTGACTACCGTAGCAAGTCTTTCGACTGCGGCAACGTGTCTCCTAGTAGACCTCTGTCACCCGCTGGTCTACCAAAGACAGGACAACTCTCCCAGGTGCCCCTGATTGAGAGGAGGCGAGGGCCGTTGCTTCGGCAGATGTCTTTAAAGATCAACCCAGAAAGTCATCAGCCAGTTCGGAAAGCTGCAATTCCATCAGACAAGCTTCCCATCCCAAAAGTCAGCTCTTTTATTCCGAACAGATCCAAGCAGATTTACATAGCTAACAGGTGCCATGTAGCGCAGCCTTTCACCCTGCACACTGCAGACCCGCCGTTGCAAAGTGATGAGCAAATGGTGCAAAGCATTCATCTGGGAAGCCCCACGTTGCAACCTCAAGTCCACGGCCTTCCACATCCATGGCATCAGACATCCAGAGTTCAGGTTTGCCATAAATCGCAGCAACCGTTCAACCAGGTCTCAGTTACTCGTGAGAAAGCCCAAGTCAAAGCAGCTGACTTGGATGAAAAGTGCTATGTGCCAAAATACCAACTCCAGTGTCCTTCTCTAAGAGCCACCCAAACATTTTCCTTCTCCTGCACACAGGGAGCTCACATAGCGTTGCCAATTTTAACTATTCCCATTGCCAATCCCATTCTGGGCATTTCCAAAGCTTCAGATGGGACTCGGAATGTGTTTGTGGCCAGTCAGCAGGCCTCCAACAGTAAGACTCAGACCGTGGTTTTGTCGAGCGAGAAGCAGAAGGACCCGTTTGATCAGAGCCAATCCGGTGTTCCACTGCCACAGATTCTGATCACCCATGAGCAGGTGCGCCCCCCCTCTGTATCCAATAAAAACAGCCCCTCCTCGTCCCACAGCTGGGAGGGCGACTCTCAAGCGGCACCGACCGTGAAGAAGGACGGAAGTCCCAGTCATGTAGCGGAGCAAGTTCCTCCTTGCTGCACACAGAAGCTGGCCTCGGTGACGCTCTGCCCCCAGCAGGAACCCACAGCTTCCAGTAAACGCATGCTGTCGCCCGCCAACAGTCTAGACATTTACATGGAAAAGCACCAGAAACGGGCCAAAGATGAGCACGGCGTGGCCTGCATAACGGACGGAAGATCACTCAGTTACCTCAACTCAAAGATGTCTGAGGTGACCCGACAGCGGAAGCTGATGCTCGTGAGACAGGTTTGTACAACCGAACCAGCAGACAGTCCAATTGAGACCGAGGCTCCGCCTCTTCCTGAACCTAAAACTGACTCGGAGAAAGACTCGGACGCCAGTGATGATGTGAAACCCATGTCACCTGATGCTGCTGGGCTTGAAAAGGTGACGGAAACTGTTATTCAAGAGAAGGCGGGTCCAGTCCTGAACTCTGCATCTGGGAGTCAGGACACCCCCCGACCGGCCAACACCGCCCTGAAGCCTCAGGAGAAGCCTGAGGAGCAGAGATGGACTTCAGCCAAATCCCTGATACGGCCTTCCAGCTTCCATGCCGGTCAGACGAAGCTGACCACATCAGTGTCCGTCGTGAACACGAAGGACACCCATCGCCTGTCCTTCCCCAGCCTGAAGACCACCACCACATTCACCTGGTGTTACCTGATGAAGCGAAGGCCTCTTCATGTCCCTCAGACTGACCTGAAGACATCAGCTTATGCCATCTGGACAGTCAGTCCCAAAAACCCCAACCCCCTGGGACTGCCCACCAAGGTGGTCATGTCTTTGTTTGACTCCAAGCAAAGCTCCAAGACGATTCACTACACCTCCGCCATCAGAACCAGCGGCAAGTCGGCCATCCTGTCCTACTCGGGGAAGTTGAAGGACGTCATGCCCAAGGTAAATTTCTGTCCAAGTCCCTTTGATGCCTCATTCCCTAAACCAGACCAATAAGTCCATCCATTTATCTTAACTCTTTCAGCTTCCGGTAACCGGGAAGTCTGCTTCACCAAAGACCAGAATTAAACCGCAGCCAGAGGCTCAGACCAGCAACGAGTCGGACAAGGACGCTACACCTTCAACGGAACCGCGGCGGGTCAAGATATTTGATGGAGGGTGAGCAGGAAAACCATTAATCATGTTGTTGAACTGGTGTCATTTAATCATCACATTCTTCATTCCTCTGCAAACCCACAGATACAAATCAAACGAGGACTACGTGTACGTACGCGGCCGAGGTCGAGGAAAGTACATCTGTGAGGAGTGTGGGATTCGCTGTAAGAAGCCCAGCATGCTGCGCAAACACATCCGGACCCACTCCGACGTCCGGCCATACCACTGTGTCCACTGCAACTTCTCCTTCAAGACTAAAGGTCAGTCAAAGCATCCCGGTACTGAGGGGTTTACTGCTCAGCACGTAGCAGGAACCACGAGCGCACCACCGTTCTCCAGTAACCTGAAACCAGGATGTTCGGTTGATGGAAAACAGAGAATAAAGTTATCTTTGATGTCTGAAAGTCCGGATCAAGCAAGGATTGGACCATATGATGCTGACCAATGAGCTCGTCGCTGTCGTCCTCTGGGTGCGCTTGTTTTATTACCACACTCAGCTGGCGTGCCCACCTTTCAAAGTAGAAGAACATAGGTGGGCTTAGGGTGTGGGGGGGTGCCACGCTGTTGTCTAAATAAAACAAGCTCATTGGTCAGCATCATATCTGGCTTCCTATTGGCTGCAAATAAAATGCTGTTTGAACTCACAAAGAAACTTTTAGAGTTTTGGGAGAGCAGAAGGATATTTAGGATGAGGCTGGAGGACTTTTGGCAGGATCATCAGGAGATTTGTGCTGGAATCGGCTGAACGTGCTCTCCGTTAGAGGCAGGACGAGGTTTGGAGTTAAAGAGCAAGTCACCCCCAACTAAATAAACGAGTGTCTAATCGTGCTGCAGACACGTGTCGTCAATAATTTGGCAGTTCAGTGCATCTTAGTTAAAATTTAAATATTCTGCCTAAAAGTGGCAGTGTTGTGCCGTCGTCAGGCAAAAACTCAGCACTGCATTTGAATTTAAATCTGTCGTCGCTATTGGCCAAGAGGTATGCTATGATGTAAACTGGTACATTATGATGTCACAGTGCTGTCGTGAGCCTGTGTGTGTGTGTGTTTGTTAGTGGCTCCGTCCTCTCGGTCTGCCAGGCAACAGCATTTGTTGCATTTTTCAAACAGGAAGTGGGAGTGGAGGTAGACTCTGGTAGGGGGTGACTTGCTCTTTAAGAGTTTATTGTAAAGATTTTAACTGATAATTCAGAATTGAACCAAAACTTAAAGAGCAACTCACTCCAAATCACCATTTTTTTGCTGATAAACTATATAAATGCGTGTCTGGTGGTGCTGTAGACACGTGTAGTCAATAACTCGGCACTTTACTGCATCTTAGTTCAAATTTAAATATTCTGCCTGAAACTGTCAGCGATGCGCCATCGTCAGGCAAAAACTCAGCACTGCATTTGAATTTAAATCTGCCGTCGCTATTGGCCAAGAGGTACACTATGATGTTAGATGGTACATTATGATGTCACAATGTCGTGAGTGTGTGTATTTGTTAGCGGCTCCGTCCTCTCGGTCTGCTAGGCAACAGCATTTGTTGCATTTTTCAAGCAGGAAGTGGGAGTGGAGTAAGACTCTGATGGGGGGTGACTTGCTCTTTAAAGAGCAAGTCACCCCTTACAAGAACATACTTCACTCCCACTTCATGTTTGAAAAATGCAACAAATGCTGTTGCCTAGCAGACGGAGAGGGTGGAGCCACTACAAATACACACACTCACGACATTGTGACATCGTAATCTACCAGTTTACATCATAGCATACCTCTTAGCCAATGGTGATGTCAGATTTCAATTCAAATGCAGTGAAGAGTTTTTACCTGACAACGGTACAACACTGACAGTTTCAGGCAGAAATTTTAAATTTTAACTAAAATGCACTAAAGTGCAAAACTATTGACTACACGTGTCTACAGCATGATTAGACACGCATTTATATAGTTTATCAGAAAAAAATAGTTTATTTGGGGGTGACTTGCTCTTTAAGCTAACACCAGTCACACGGTTATCTCTGAGCATAAATATCACCTGCAGCCAGATGTGGGGCTTCATACACAGGTCGGGTCCAGCAGGAGGTTCTGGTTAACCCTGAAACCAACAGAGAAGTAAAAGTTTATTAGTGATGTTACAAGAACACATGGAAGCAGAATTAGGATGTTGTCTCAGACTAGCCGTTAGCTTATCAATCCTATAAAGTCTGTTTTACACACAAACTCACTTCAGGATGGCAGAAATGTCCCTTTAGTCCGATAAGCTGCATCTTAGTTTTTTTTACACGGTGAATTTAGACACGTTTTACTTCTCATCCCAGGATCTTCTGGGAATGTGACTGAACCATCTGACATGGAGGTCAGAGACCTAACTCGCATTAATGAAGCTCTCACTACAGGTTTAATGGTTGCTACTCCACATTTATCAGCTAATAACCAAAAAGCTCCTCGGATGAGAAGTGGGAAAAGTTCGTCTGACCCGCTAGAACCTGGAAGATGTGGAACTTCCACCTTTTATTTTCCCGTTGAATCTCCCAGTCTCTGCCCGGAGCTTCTTCAGCCTGCTGAATTAAAGATGTTGCTGCACCGTCTCAGGATGATTCACTGTTCTTTTATCGAGCTCGCCTTCCCACGCGACACTGCAGAACAGCGCTGTGTGTCTGCGGCCCACGCTCATTTAAAAATGTCTTCATCGGTTACTCGCCCGAACACGCAGCTTTCCCAAAGAGCTCCCGCTCTTATGTAAACTGCTGCTGTCCACCTGGGACCAGCTCAGTGGTCTGGTGGTAGTGTGTCTGCCTCAGACTGGGAGGTCTGGGCTCGATTCCTGGTTGGGTCGGACCAGAGACTAAGAAAAAATGGGACCCAACGCCTCCCTGCGGGGTTGGATTGGGGGTTAAACCACCAAATGGTTCCCGAGCGTGGCCGTGTCTGCAGCTCACCGCTCCCCCAGGGGGCGGGTCACACGCGGAGAACAACACACACATCAGTGTGTGTGACAGCTGCTGGGACTTTAAGACCTTGCTGCTTCTGTTTGCAGGGAACCTCACCAAGCACATGAAGTCCAAGGCTCACAGTAAGAAGTGCATGGAGATGGGGGTGCCTGAAGACCTGCTGGAGGACCAGGATGCTGAGGACTCGGGTACGTGTTTTGGGCCGATCTCCTGCTCTGTCGCTGTGTGGATCGATAGTTTGGTCTTGGTCTAATTAGAAATGCTAAAAGCAGCTCCTTCCTCCGTTAACGGGGAGGGTGTGTGGGCGGCAGGCGCAGCATTCAGAAAGAGGAAATTGCTGCGTCTAATTTTAGAGAGAGCGAGCGAGCGAGAGGCTGCCTGAGATGGAGCTCAGAGGCGGCCGGGCGAGGGCGGGAAGCGGCTCGACGACCCAAACGCAGCGCTTCGCCTCTGTGGGAGAAAAACATCAGAATAAGTAAATTGGAGGATTATTTATGTGTCGGTGATGAAACCACCTGATTGGTTGCGTTCACCACCAGGTGGTGCTATTACTGAGTCAGTCGTTTGTAACCAGAACCATCTCGTTCTGACCCAGGAGACCGCAGCCAGGTGAGCAGCGTCGACCGTCCAGACACGGATGGCGATGACTCCGATGTTCCCGATGAGGAGGAGAATGACGACGAGGAAGAGGAGGACAGCCAAGCGGAGTCGGGTCTGTCCACAAACCCGTCTGTGTCCACCAGTCCACAGCACTTCCCCTGCAGAGAGACGGATGTCCCGCCCAGCGCGCTCCTCGCCCAGATGTCCATCAGCTCCCTGTCCTTACCCCTTTCCCGCCCTCCTGAATCCTCGGACCCCGGATCCGTTCTGAGCCTCGTGTCCCTCAGCGGGGACGTCTCTGGGACCTGCTGCAGTCCGGCCCCCTTCCCGTCCTCCCCCCCACCCATCACCACCGCTGCCGACTCCTACACCTCTGACCCGGAGTCGGTCCACATGATGAGCCCCGTGTCGCCCTGCAGACAGATGTCCATCGACTACCCAGACGTTGATGTCCCGCCGAGTCCCCCGGTGATGACCAGGAGCTCCAAGCTGGTTCAGGTGAGCTCCTCTGTCCTCCCTCCCCACCTCCCCCTCCCCCACCGCCACTAACACTGTTCTGTTTCCTCAGGAGGCTCCTGCTCCTCCTGCCGCCACCGAGTCCAGCGCACCGGTGGACCGGAGCACTCAGACCTCCTCCTACCTGCCTCCACACCTCCACCTGCAGGGAGCAGCTCAGCCTGCGGAGACGCACCTGTTCAGCCACCTGCCGCTGCACTCGCAGCAGCCGGCCCACTCGCCCTACAGCATGGTCCCTGTCGGAGGGATCCAGCTGGTTCCTGCCGGCCTTGCTACATTTGTCCCGATCCAAGCCGGACCTGTCCAGCTCACCATCCCCGCTGTGGGAGTGATCCACCGGAACACCAGCCCGTTATCCTCTCCCGGCACCCCCACCCAGCCGGACAGCCTACAGCCTCTTCTGATCCAGGAGCCCATCAGCAGTGTCCTGCCGTGCTTCCCTCTGGGCCCGGTAGCGGGCCTCCAGACCCAAACCCTGCAGCCGCTGGGCCTAGAGACCCTCAACCTGATGGGGCTCACCAACACGGGCCTGGGGCTGCAGGTTCTGGCTGCCAGCCCCACCTCCCAAAGCGGGCCTCAGACCCACATCCCGGGTCTGCAGATCGTCAACATCGCCCTTCCGGCAATCATCCCCTCCCTCTCCACCCTCAGTCCTCTCCCGGGCTCCTCAGACCAGCCCGTTCGGACCGAACCCGGTGTCGGTTCTGTGTGCCAGCCGGCTTCATCACCAGAGCCCAAATCGGGAGGAGGAGACTCGCCGACGCAGGACAAAGAGGACAGGACACTCCCCCAGCAGCATCCGGCAGCAGCTCCACAGCGCCAGGCGGGCAGCCCAAACGGGCCGACGCCCGCCGACCCGACAGAACCACCAGCGTCGGCGAGCAGCTGGCACACGCCGATTGACGACTCTAACGAAGCTTCGAGCGATGACGAAGACCGGCTGGTCATCGCCACCTGAGCAGCGGCGCCGGTTCTTCTTCTCTTTTGTAATTCTTGTCACTTTTCAGGTGTTTGTCTCTCCGACCAATCACCTTTCAAAGCACAGACGCTGATGTCGCTGCGACCAATCATCAGTGGTTTCTCTTTTGTACATGTTGTAAAGATGATGGTGCCTTTTTGACGTTCCTGGTGTCAGACTGTAAATAACCCGGTGGTTGTTTGTGAAGACGTATAAATGTACATTTGTATGGGACGCCTCTGTGTACAGCTGTTGTGTTCACTATTTATTCTGATCATCTAGAGCCCGCCATGTTGCTGTATCGATATCCTGAACTGTACCAGTAAACGTTTGTTTACGACGTCTTCTTGTGTCTCGCTGCTAGACGTTCTAACCCTAACCCGTTAACCCTGGAAGAGCAGATCTGTTATTAGGAGGAAAGGTTAAACGCATCCGCGTCCATTTCTGCATCATCACCGGTGGTGTAGTCCGGCCTCTTTAATAGGTACACCTGAATTTCCTATCATAAATGTCTAACCAGCCAATCAGACAGCAGCATTTAGGTGTTCAACGTGCCTGTTGCTACCAGCCAGGCCGGTCTGATCTACTGGGTTTGAACCCACAACCATCTGTGGGGTCAGAGGTCAGACTGGTTACTGGCAGGAAAGGTCCTACGTCCTAGAACAACGAGCCAAACTTGAGCTGGAACTGTTGGTGGTTTTTCTCCATCCGTGTTTCCAAATGCGGATAGCTTGTCTACTAGGCTAGCAGCACAGCTGTAGAATACACTATTCCCACTGGACCAGAAGAGACTGGATTTTTCCGGTTCCAGCAACAAAAATCCGTCCCACAGACCAAAGAAACTAAAACTGAACTCATCACCTGCTCTGGAGCAGCCTGTTACCATGGCAACCCTCCACCACGGGTTCAGAGACAAAACTGGACAATTATCCTCCAGACCTCAAGAATCAGATAGAAACACCAAAGCAAGCTTCATCAATCTGGGAGGGGTCAAAGGTCAACGATTCAGTGCAAAACATTAAAGACGTTTACCCAGATGTCAGAGGTCACTTCTCAGAAAAATGACCTGTTATAATCAACAACCTCAGGCTTTCCAGGGGTCGGCAGGTTAAAGGTCGTGACCTGACGATCTAAACACCAAATGTTGCCGCTTTCACCGAAGTTCATGATTGTTCTGATGTTCTTTATTCCTGCAGCTCAGATCCAATATGTCGTTTCTCTGATTTCTTCTACTAAACCAAACAGAAAAGCACAAAAACGATCCGATAAACGGGCCGATTTTAACCTGAGATCCGAGTTTTCGGTGTTTGTGACTCGGATCAGAATAAAAACCCGAACCTGGTAAAAATAAAACAATAGAAGTGAGTTAATGAGCTGCCATCCACCCTGCTAGGGTGACTCATCCATCACCTCCCCTCCTCCTGCTGACTCTAGAGAACAGAGCAAAGACTGCAGCGCCCCCTACAGGTCAACACCCACCACTGCAGAAACAAACGGTCCGGTCTGCATCCAGACGTGGAAAACTCTAACGTGCATGCACACACGAGCAGATGCACATACACACGTGCACAGGAGCTGGGGAGGGGCCCTAAACAAAATAATTACAACTACTAAAAAAATCTACAAAACTTAGAATTTTAAGATTTATAAATAAGAATAAAAAGTAACTAAATAAAAATAGTTAAAAATGCCTTTTCCCTGTTTTGTTGAACATTTTTGTCACGTTTAAAATCTCTTAGGAACTCCTGCATCCTGTTGAAGTCGAGTTTTTATTCATTTATCTGGCTTTTACAGCAGATTTGATCTGAGAGCGTCTGAACCTCGATTCTAATAAATCCTAAACTTTGTGTTTTCTCAAATATCTGTTAGTGATGAGCAGCGACTTTTCCCCGAGGTCCAGTGACCAAAGCCACCAGGCGAAAGGTCAAAGGTGACAGATCATCTGCTGCTGAAAAATCACGTCAGCAGAAAGATTTAGATTATTTATCAGCGGGATCCCGGAGAGCCTTGTGTTGGTTCAAATTTTATAAAATAACAATTTGGTTTTTAACATTAGAGAAAATACTGCGATGGACTGCTCTCTGTCCACGTGGACAAAGGGTTCAGCTGATGGATGGATGGACATAGAGAAACTAAAAACCTGGTAAATCTTCTGAAGTTATTCTCTAGTGTCTTT